AAGACTGAAAGCGAAGGTGAAAGCGAGAAGTGAATTCAGAGGGGGGTTGGAGAGTAGTGACATGAACCAGACATAGGAACAGGACTAGTGACAGATATGTAATGCTGCTTTGGATAGCTCGTAGAAATTGCTGAACCGTTAATCACACGTAATTAAGAACATGCTGGCGGCGGACACCAGAGAGAGAGTGGAAGGACTAGGATCCTTTCATAAGACCTAAGACAGGCTTCAATATCATTGTGGCTTTCGGGTAGCGCGTCGAATGAGACCTGCTAATATTAATGTTCCAACAGCTGCAGCCCCTCCGGCAAGTGCCATGCCAATGTAACCCTCTGTAGAAAAGTTGCGGTAAGCCACTGAATAGAACAGGCGAACACGAAATAAGCTCACCTCGGGTCATGCTTTGGTCAATCAATGTTCCAAGACTTTGTGCTTGTAAATTTGTTGGTTCTTTGTCCATAAGTAAACCTGAAAGGGCGGGGGAGTGAGCGCGCCAAACATGACCGTAAGAGATAGACGAAACAAAGAACGCTGGAATATCGCTCATGAAAACGAAAACTGACTATTAAATTTCTTTGCATCCTCATAGTTGCCCATTTTGTAGTGACCGAGGGCCAAATAGTAGAGGCATTCGCGTCTTCTACTTGGTTCTGCTCGATAGATCTCTATAGGGTGTAGAAATGGGTATCCGAAGTAGAAAACACGTCGTAAGCATAATTGAAGCTCTGTATTTTCAATAACTGTTACCGACCTTGGAGCAACCGGACACCATGTGTTTGATGTTCCCGTTGTGGACTCTTTACCAGTCCCCAAGCATAGTTAAACTTTGTCTGTGTGGTCACATGACCAGTTTCTTCCTCTTTCTTGTATTGTATCCTCAAGACCTGCCATCAGACACACTCAGACGCCAGTCCACTGGAGACAACATGTGATAAGGGTGACGTGCTAACCTCTAATTCATCAAATGAAAGGGATACTTCAGCATCTGCCGCATACGGTAACTCTGTAGGCATGATTTTAGACAATTTTGTTGACGATGGTGAATGAGGTAGGAGATTGACTACTATTTGCCACCTTCGAACCGCAGTAGCCGGCACCTTACACAGACCGCCCATTTCTAGGAAGATATTTCATTATATTTCGCCTACATCCTAACTCTTGACAGTCCGAAGACAAACGCTCTTCTGGACAGATAACTGGGCTTCGTTTATATGAAAGCCCAATGGGAGTCAGGCTGAGACTTATGATGCACGAATTTAGACTTAGCAAACGGACGGGATCTAATGTCAATCGAATATGAATATAATACTATATTGAATCATATGAAATATATGTGTTCGCGTTCTATCACGGGAAATGAGAGGTTTCCTTTAATAGTGAGGGAGCACAGGTGAATTGTACTCGCTTT